AGGACCCACTGCTCGGCAGGAAAATTTACAATCCTTTAATTCCATTTACAACGCAGCAACACAAAAGGGAGCTGCAGACAGAGGCTGCGAGCGGGGAGAGCGATGGGGAAGAATGAAATAAACAGGGCTACAGGGGAGCGGGATCATCGAATTCCAGCCGGGATTAAGGGAGAACGCGCCTGTTGGGCACCAATGTGAGCCTGGAGTTGTATTGAGTTGTAGAGGTTCCATCTTGTCTCTGCTCCTGGCTGAGCACGTTGCACATCTCGGAGCAGCTCCCCGTAATTTGCTTATAAATAATTGACTTCTCGGTGATGGAAGCCTCTGGAGGGTCTCCCGGTTTATTCACAACAAGGCACCTCGGCCTGCCGTGCAAATTAGCCCTTTCAAACCTGTCTCTTCTCCAACAGAAACGTTATGAAGAGTGATTTTTTTTATCCCCCGTAATAACCTTCAACTAACCTTTAAACTGAAGTGAATAATTTAAATCTTATTTTCATATCAATGGGGGAGTCAAGCCAAGCAATTATCTTTTATCTGTATACTCTGTCGTCAGCGCGAGGCATAATAAAGTTTTCCCAAGTGGGCAGAGCGAAACGGGGAGAGAAAGAGAGAAAGAGAGAGAGATGCTATCTGACGGCATTAAGGCAGAGATGAATTATTCAGCAACGAGCGCAGGAGCTGCAGGACAGCCCGGCTGCATCAGCGGGCAGCGGGGACGGCCTTACCCACAGAGTGCTGGGGGGAACAGGAGAGGGAAAGGGGGCATCCAGCAGTGGGGAGCGGGCTGACATTCCCCTATGGGCTCATTAGGATGCTGAGTCCCACCCGAGTCCCACCGGACCGCCTGTAATCTTCTGTATTAACGCCTAAAATCCCACGCCTGTGATGATGGAGGGTGCTGACAGTGGGGTTGGTGACCCTGGCGGGGGTTGCAGCCTGTGGGTGCTGCCTCCCCCCCATCCCTGTGCTGCACACGTGTGTGTGCCCAGCCACAAACTGCAGCTCCGTGCTGCTGGATGTCACTCAGTGCTCAGGGACAGCATCCTGCATGGGGCGGCTGCTTCCCACGGCACCGCTGTGACTGCACCACAGAGCCAACGAGGGCGGGGGGTTCTGCTCTGTGGTTTTGCAGTGTGAGCAGAGGTTGAGGGTTCACCGATCCTCCAGGAAAATCCCAGCAGGTCGGAGCTGCCTGCTCGTTGATGCCAATGGGTGAAGGCCTGGAGCGAAGCAGGGCGGTCCCACGGAACGCTGCAGCCCATGGAGAGGTGCTGCCACTGAGCGCGGGATGTCTCCCTGTAATCTTTCCACTTAAACCAGTGATTAAACTGATCTGGCAGATGATTAAGCAAACAAAGATTAATGAAACAAGCAAAGGAATCAAATCTTGATGGGGGAATAAATGCGTGATTCAAAACAATATTAGGACAAATTGTCTAAAACCGATCGGGAATGCGTTGCTTTTGTCTCAACAGCATTTGTTGTACTCTCATTTCGTCGCAGTCAAAATATTTGCTCAAACCAAAAATGGAGATGAAAAATCTCAAATGCTACCAATGCTTCCCATGATTTACCAAAAAAGATCTGCAGGATGCCCCATCCTGGAATGCCAGCATCAAATGCAGCACCCAATGGTGGTACCCAATGGCATCACCCAACCGCGGCACAGCACATGAGCGCAGGGATTTGCATTTCTCTCTGAGCAGAAGCAATGGGTTTTAGAGCTGCAAGTCTTTTTCTTTCATCAATTTTGCATATGGAAAGATCATGTTTGCTCTAAATAGTTTTGTTTTTAAAGCCTCTTAAATTTTTGAGATGAAAATAACAAAGAGGGAATGGGGGGGGGGGGGGTAAGACTGCTCCAGACAGGCTGTCACAAGGCTGCAGCAGCCAAAGACCAGAAGCAAACTCCATCAGCAGAGCAGTTAATTAAGAGGGGAAGGAAACAAGGTGCCTAACGCAGAGATAATTGCTCCTGTTCTGCTGCAGCACACACTGCCTACACACACACACACACACACACACACACACACACACACGTTGGTACCTGGCACATCCCACCCAGAGTGCCCCGAGGACATGGTGCTGCTCTGTGCTGATGATGGCATTGCCCAGATTTTGCCTTTTCATTCAGATGATGCTCTCAGATAAACCTGACTCAGCAGCATTGGACAAAGCCAAAAGGTTCAACGTGTGCTCCTGAGATGCAACAGAACAGGACGGCAGTCCAACACGAGTGCAAATCCTCATTCCTAAAAGCTGCACAGCAAAGTTTCTGCCACCATCCCAGCACCACTGCCCATGGCTCTGCACGGCCAGGATGGTCAGTGGGACCAGCTCCAGGGCTGCTGTCCTAAAACATGGCACGAAGAGGGAGGCAATGCTTCCCTCCAGATCAGTGATGCACAGAAGCAGAGCCGAGGTGCGTTGCTCCATGCTTGGAGGACTCGGCGTGTGAGCACCCTTTTGGAAGGTTTGGGTTCTCAGTGCTGTTTTTGGGGTGGAAGGAGGGAAGGAAGGGCCTGAGGGAAGATGGAGGTGTCAGTGGGGCAGCGTGCTCTAGTGGAATGTACCATGCATTGCATCACGTTGCATTGCATTGCCTCAAACCACGTCACGTAGCATAGCATCACTTTGCCTTGCAGCAAACTGCAGCACACGGCCCTGCGTTGCATTGCATTTCATTGCATTGCAGCACACTGCATCACATCACGTCACAGCACCTCGCATGCGTGCAGCAGTGCAGCCAGCAGCAGCTCTCTGCCCAGTGCTGGGGCTGCTCCTTCCATCAGCAAAGCAAGCTGTGCGCTCCCTGTCCCTACAACCCCTATAGGCCCCAGCCCTGCAGTTGCTGGGCACCTCAGGGAGGGGTTTGGCAGCAGCAGCTGCAGCAGAGAATCCACTGAGTCCATGACATGAATTCCAAGTCTCCCTCTCACAGGGAGCTGCCTGAGCAGCTCAGCCATGCTCCTATCTCTCACTCTACCCCCCCCCCCTCCCCCTTTTTTTGGAGACTCATTACTATATTGTGGATATTCTCCACTAAAGGGCATCTCTTTGAATGCATTTGCTTTTTTATTAATGTGTGCTAAGACAAGTCAAGCCTGATTATCATGAAGACAATTGCTGAATTCCCTCCTGGAGAAATCTCATCTAGACTGTGTAGGCGTTTTAATTTCAGAGACCCATTAATTGGCACAATTGCTTAAGCAGCTGCTTTCCGTGTCATTTTAGGACCACTTTATGAAAAACAGAGCTTAAGGAAAAAAAAAAAAAAAAAAAAAAAGAAAAAAAAAAAAAAAAGAGAGAGAGAAAGAAAGAAAAGATAAAAAGAAAGAAAGGAAAAGTATATGACAGGCCAGAGCTTTCTGCATGGTAGCATAATTAATGCAAGGAGCTTCCTATGGGTGGGAAAGCAACAAAAAGCTGCTCCAGCACTGCACCGTGGCACATGGCTGCTGCTGTCCTGGGCTGTGTGTGCTCAGGTGCAGCACGGGGTGTCTGGTGCTGCCAAGGATCCATTGGGTTCTGGAAAGCAACGAAAAAAGCAAAAGGAAATGGAGAAGGCAGCCTGCAGGGATGGGCCACGTGTGTTTCCTGCAGTGTGAAGCTGCACTCCCAGCATGTCTGGGTGCAGGAGCTCCTTCTGCCTGCATGGGTGAGGGATGGGCACAGTACTCTGATGCCCTCTCCCCAGCCCTGCACCCTTCCCATGCGTGAAGTTGACCACTGTAACCCCGTGCTCATGACCTGCAGCATCCCCACGTCTCCAACCTACAACATCCCTACGTCCCCAGCCCGCAGCATCCCCGCATCCCCAACCTTCAGCATCCACGTGTCCCTAACCTTGCGTCCCCACATCCCAACCCACAGCATCCCTGTATCCCCAACCCAGCGCATCCCCATGACCCCAACCTGCAGTGTCCCCACCCACTGAGCTGTGCCCTCCCACAGCCACAGGATCACAAGAGCATCCCAGCAGCTCCAGCAGCACGCAGAGCTCCCGTGATGAGGTTAATTATGGAATGGCTGAGGAACAAATCCTTCCCTCCAGGAGAAGTGGCCGGAGAGAACCGCGTGCTCTTCTTTGCCATAGGCAAAAATATACATTCCCCCTTATTAATAAATAAAGCCATATCAATGCCCTAAATTATCAGCAGAATGTATTTGCTAACCTGAAGCGATAGTAGGAACAATTACTTATTAATAAAGCAATAGCTAAATCTAATTACATCCCCATCAGATCCTGCAAGTAATAAAACCACAGTTGCCTCGCGGAGCCGGGGGACCTCCTGACCCCAAATCAAAGTTTAAACCATCCATCAGCTCCCAATACATTCCCAGCACATCCCGCAATTACCATCACCTCCGCTCCGCTCCCTGGCAGGGGCAGGGGTCACCCCATGCACTGCATGGCTGTAAGCTAGAACAGAGCCTTAGAAATCTCATTATCCTGTTAACCATACATTTATCTGACAAGATAAAAGAGACTAGGTGACCAAGCTATCATTAAAGATTAATAGAAAGTATAAAAAATTCAGCTGCAACCAGCATTACTGTTTAGTGCCTGTGATAGGCCTGACAGGATTATTAATCAGGCAGCCAAAAAGATTTAGGTCTTTGCTCTCGGTTTTTCATTTTAAGCCTTTCGTTTCCCCCACGCCATAGAAACCGCAGGTCAGCGCCGGCTGCCGCTAATTGGTTCTGCGGGGTTTGAATGGGAGCGGCTCGGACCAATTATGGGATCACCGGGAGCTGCGGTGACAATGAGGGCTGGGGACGCCGAGCTGTTTACCAGGAGCCCCCCCGGCACAGGGCTATTAATAAATGGTACAGATCAATGCCCGCATTAATTTTAATAGAGGGCTACAAGGACCGCGCCAGTCCCAGGGTGATTTTCCCCTCATTCTTAATTCCATTTAAGTTTAACATGAAAGATTCCCAGGTAACACCTACACAGGAAGAAACGAGATTTCCCTGTTTTTAAGTCTTAAGTATTCTTTTTATTCTGCTTTGCTTTTTCCCTTTTGATCATAAATCAATGTCCTCTCACAAGTTTCCCTGCAAGCCACGTCTGCGAGCAGGCTGTGCTGCACTGCTCTCCATTTCTCCACCTGTGAGAAAGAAAAACCAATAAATTAGGGAAGGGCTTTCTGAAACCCTGCGTGGGGAAGCGAACCCGCTTTGCCCACGGTGGGGATTTGGGAGCCTCTGGCTGCACAGGGCTCTGTGCCTGTCCCCATTCCTATCTCCATCCCCATCCCCATCCCTCTCCCCATCCCCATCCCCATCCCCATCCCCATTCCCATTCCCATCCCCATTCTCATTCCCATCCCCATCCCCATCCTCATTCCCATCCCCATCCCCATCCTCATCCCCATCCCCATCCCCATCCCAATCCCAATCCCCATCTCCATCCCCATTCCTCTCCCCATCCTCATTCCCATCCCCATCCCTCTCCCCTCCCCATTCCCATCCCCATCCTTCTCCCCTTTCCCATCCCTCTCCCCATCCCCATCCCCGTCCCTTTCCTCATCCCCTCCCCATCCCCATCTCCATCCCACCACTTTTGCCTTTGCCACGTTCCCCCAAACCCTAACGCACTTTTAAATTAAAAAAAAAAAAAAAAAAATACTGAAAATGTATTCAGCCTTTGCTGGGACACCTCCAGGAACTGTTCAAATCCTTTTAACATCACCCTTCTGTTTTCTCACAAGGCAATATTGAAGCAGGAGCTCGGAATTGGGAAACCTTGGTGGTAGATGGAGGTTGGACTGGATGATCTTGGAGGTCTTTCCCAATCTTGGTAACTCTAGGATTCCGGGATGGCTGAACCAGCATAGGCACAACTCTTTTCCATGAAAATGAAACAAGCCAGAACAAATCAGCTTTCTGTAACAACTTGCATTAAAAAAACAACCATAAAATATCCCTTGCTGTAAAAGCCCTCCAGACACCCAGCAGGGCCCTGCATGCGTGAAGCTCAACCCAGAGCCAGGCTGGCAGAGCTCGACGTAACAACCCTTCTACATGGCATCACATGCCGTTCCTCCCGGGCAGCCCTATCTGCTGCAAGATCACATTTAGAAGCAGATTATCACACTTCCAATCGATGCAGCACATTGTTTAAGATCCCACAGTCGGGCAATTAATTGTCGAACATAATTGGAATTATGCAGAGAACAAACTGGCGCATCAGCAAAGCCCTGCATCCCCGCGTCCTCCTGCCAGGGAGGAAAAGCTGGGTCGTGCATTGCACCTCCCAGCCCTCAGGTCTGCCTGGTGCTGCTGGGCTCTGTGCTCAGGCTGTGCAGAGAGGTGCAGCACCGCGTCCTGCCGCGCTGCCGCCGTGCGAGCAGACGTGCGTCTCAGCTCTCGTGGTTTAAAATAAATTTAATAGATGCTTCCACACTTTGCTGCTGCTATTCTGGGCATGGCGGCTGGAGTCGATACACAGGCTGCTAATTGACAGATCGGCTCGTGAGCCAAAAGCAGAGTGGTGTCTGCGAGAAGACGTGGGTTTCAATCGCTGATCTGCCACAGCACCAAGCCACGGCCCCGTACCGTGTCGCCTTCTAGATGCTGTGTCACTGTGCCATTGTAGCCATGTCAAGGAATCGTGCCATGTTGCCTTCTGTGTCACCATGCCATGGCACCATGCTGTGTCACCATGCCATGCCACCATTCCAGGTCACCATGCCACGTCACCGTGGCTCCTTGCACTGCAGCAGCATTCCCTATGGATGCCCTCACACTGTGCTAGGCCACTGGCTGTCTGAGCTGTGCCAGCACTCACCAGAGATATCTTCTGATGCTTTCTGATGGGACAGTGCTTGCAGACTTTCCCATGCTTCCCATCAAAAAGAAAAAGGCATTCAGACAAACGGGGAGAGTGGCTTTTATTTGCATAAGTTTTTGCAGTCAAAAGCAAAAGACGGTGGCATCGGAAAGGGTTTCCTAAGAGCTGGTAGGCTAAAAGGGCTCTGAAGAGCCTGGTTTGCATCCAGCCAGGAACTGCAGTCGTTACTGCTGCAACCAAAATAAATCAATTCCAGTTCTGCAGGATGAACGCGGGAGGCACGGGCTGCTCCGCTCCCATCTGCAGCGAGATACAGCTGGGCTTCACGTCAGCTTTGAAGCTCGCAAGGCTGAGATAAAAGAGAAATGCTAAAACCTCATGCAAGCAAGGAGAGCTGGATGGTGGGAAAGCCAGGCTGCAGTGCATGTCTGAGAGCTGTCTGTCTGCCTGTCTACCTGGTGACTTCCATCTCATCACCAGCAAGTGCAAGGTGGAAGCGCAACCTACAGCACAGGGCACTTCAGCTGCACAGAACCCAGCAAAGCAGCAAACGCTCCTCCCGGAGCCGAGGCCATGCTGACTCCACCCGGTTTGCATGAGCTTCAGAGCAGTTTGGGGCAAAAAGCTATGAGCCTTTGAAAGAGCATTGCAGCTCTGTAACAGAGCGTGAAGCCAGGCGGGATTCACACGAGCCTGACGGGTTCAGCAGGGGAATGTTGGGAGAAAAGCAAATCCAGATTGATAGAAAGCTCCATTCATCTCAGAGGGATCCAAGCCACAAAGAAATGGATCTAAATGTCAAACATTCCCCGGGTTTTGTGGTATTCCAAACCAGAGGGCTGGGCGGACCCATTGCACAGATGAAAACCAGGTGCAGAGAGCTGTTGTGAGGTGGGCTTGGATGACGGGCACAAAGCCTGTGGGTCTCCAGATTGAGGATTTCATTTTAGGGACATTCAATTCCAAGTAAATCCGTGTGATTCTTGCCAAAAATATTCCACAGCATCCTATGGAGCCAGGTTGGCCACTCAGCGCTGTCTGGATGGCAGTGAAATGCTGTGGCTGCCATTGACACATCGACATTCACTGTGCCACTCTCCAAGGCTGCGTTGTGCAGATGCCCTGGGCTGCCAACTGCCCTCAACCCCAGCAGCAAATGCAGCTGCTGCCAAAGGTGCCACCCAACCCCCATTGCCTCTGGGGGAGCTCTTAGATCCCATTTGGCACTGTGGTGCTTTTGCCTACGGTGGTGCTTCGTGATCCAATGCAGCACAGCAAGTTGAATGCATGTGCATGAAGTGTGCTACCCTCTGCACCCACAGCTTTCCGCAGAGAAAGCAGAGGACCAGGAGGGGCACGTAGAATCATAGAATAATAGAATGGCTCAGGTTGGAAGGGACCTCAAGGATCTTCAAGCTCCAACCCTCCTGCTACATGCAGGGCCACCGACCTCCATATCTAATACTAGACCAGGATGCTCAGGGGCTCAACCAACCTGGCCTTGAACACCTCCAGAGATGGGGCATCCACAGCCTTTCTGGGCAGCCTGTTCCATCACCTCCTGCCACTCCCCATCTTTCATCAACACTGAGACCTAAAAAAGCCATTTTTCAGCTAACATTATAAAGCAAAGCTGCTGCTTTCCATGGAGGCTCAGCACACTTGACAGAAACTCTTTGTGGGGGGTAACTGGAAATAGTAGGAAGGCAAATCCAAGCCTTTTTTGGGGAGATGTCTGAGGCAAAGAGGAGATAAGGTAGTATGAATTATTTCCTGACATCAGCTGATGGGAGGCCTGCAGGACGCAGAAGCCCCAATCCTTCCCCTGTTCCACAGGCTGGGCTGGGAGAGGAGGATGGGGAAGAAGAGCCTAAGGATGGTGCCTGCTGATCATCACCACGAGTAAAATGAGCTGCTTCCCTGAACCTGAAAAATATCAAACTGCATAAATAAACCTATTTAAATTATTAATAAACGAATTTACATTCGGAGCCTGAGAAGGAGAATTAATTTCATTTCTTATGCTAAACTGGCCAGCATGGATGATGACTGAAGAATTAAAAGATGCAGAAATGAAGGGAAAATGAAGGTAGGCCGGCTCCATCAGAAAAGAGAGGCAAAGTGGGGATCCTGGGTCCAAACAAAGCCATCAGCCAAAAGCAAGAGGACCAAAACTAACCTGCAAGCTCTGGGGGAGCTCAAGCCCCCCTCTGCTGCCCATGCATGCCGTGTCTCTGCCAGCACTTTGGGGGACAACAGCCCTCAGTGCAGAACCCCATCAGCTGGCTGCTCCCAGGGCAATTAATTAGGAGGTGCTCCCAGCCCCTGGCATTCCTCCTCCATCCCTTCCACTGGGAAGCAGCATTCGTGACGGATGGCGTATGAAAACCCACTGCCAAAACAATCCTCTCCTCATCTGCCCTCTCGCTGGAGCCTGTCTGCAGTGCTCTCCAGGATGTATTGTTATTTCGTGTGATGAGACATTCCAGAGAACGAAATAAAATAAAAATAGACATTTGGAGGGGCTTTTGTATTGCTTCTTCGCAGCTCCCCACACTGCGACTCCTGTGAAGGCACTTGTCGGGCTGATCCGCTGGCGCTGCCGCCTCGGCTGTCCTTGTGCTGGAGACACTGCTCTTTTAAATTCGGTTTCTCAGAATTAGAAGAAAAACTTGGCAAAGCAACAATAGGGAAAAAGAAATATGAATAATCTCAGAACAGAAATTGCATTATGTGATGTGGTTGCCATGTGGTTAAGTCTGAGAGAGGATCATGCGAGCGCATTGTGGGAAAATTGATAACAGGCTGAAGAACACCGAGCGTTCAGATCGGAGGGCTGCAGGGCCAACCCTGAGCCAGTGCAAGAGGCTCAGTGCTGGGCAATGGGAAGGGGATGGGGGCACCTGCACTGGGGTCTGCAGCCCCCGGGGTGCTCAGCTCCAGGATGGATGAGCTCCCTCAATAAGCCCCGAAATCTCTCAGGGTGTCACACAGCCCGTCTCAGCTGCCACCGAAACTGCAGCCAGCACTGAGATCCGTGCCACCCACCCCTGCCTGAGCTGTCACCCCACGTGCACTCTGCTCCACTGGGGACGGTGCCCACAGCCATCAGCACTGTGGGTCTGTGGCCACGTTGACCCCAAAGCATCGCTCCCAGATCGCTGACTGGGAGGAAACACAGATTTCAGATACGTTGGGATTCAGATGGTTTGGGGGAAGTAATCATGAGTGATGAAAGCGAATTTTGCTCCCCAAACTGTGCGAGCTGTGATCCATCCCCGCCCGCTGGCTGTCGTGCTACGGTGGTTTGAGTGGGAGGAAAGTCAGCACTGTCAGCTGAGCGGCAGGAAGCTCAGAAAGCGTGGGGAAGTGCATACACACACACTGAAAAAGGGGTAAATTCTGTGAAATCAGATCAGCAATGCAAATTCTGCTCTTTTCTTGCACCGTGGCTCACTGACAGCGTGCACAGTGCCATCAGCCCAGTGCAGCACAGCAGAGGGGATGTCCATGGTGTGCCCCATCGGTCCCAGCAGGTCCTGCCTCCACCCAGCCCTATGCAAACCATGCAAAGCACGGGGAGGTGAGAGGAGAGCAGGTGCCTCTGTGGCCTTCTCAGTGCTGTAGCTTTTGGGGATCCTTAGGACAGAAGGATGCTGGGGCTACGCATTCATTCCTGCTGGGATGGGGATGGGGGCACCTGCACTGGGGTCTGCAGCCCTCGGGGTGCTCAGCTCCGGGATGGATGAGCTCCCCTCAAAAAGCCCCAAAATCTCTCAGGGTGTCACACAGCCTTCCCTGGGGGTAGGATTCTGTCTGTGCACTGCTGCTGCTGAGCACCTGTGTACTCTGTGCCAGGAGTGCTGAACAACAACTGGAGAGATGGGGCAGCAGCTGGCTTAGGGTCTGCAGGTACAAAATGGGACCCTGGACAGTATCCAACATCAGAGCCTCGGGACAGCCAGGGCTGAGTGCACACAATTAGGGAGCAAGAAGGGCAGCGGGACTCCAAATCCTAATTTGGCCTGATGAAAGCTTAATGATTCCAGCTTGACGATTGCCGGAATGCCCCAATTTCCTCATTCCAAAAAGCCCCCACTGCCAAGGCTCGGGTGGAGCGGACACGCATGGTGATGCAGCTCCGAGGGGTGGCAGGAACAGAGCGAGGATTTCAATGGCTGAGGCACAGAGAAGGATTCCTGCGAGCAGATGAGCCGGTAATCTAACAAAAGTGTGGAATTAAGAGTTTTTTAATGAGGGTTTCAGAATGAGTAGCAGCCTGGTAGCACGGCCAGTGGAGGAGAGCAGCTATTTGAAGGGAAGCAAAGCAAAGGCTGGGGCCCTTCAGCACCAGCTCCCTGCCCCCGAGGTGCCCCTGCCCCGGGGCTGCACCCCCACATTGCTCCTGTGCAGGGTTTGTGGATGGGAATCATACAGCAGTGCAGCTGGGGAGCAGCAGGAGAACACTGCTCCTCTCCCAGAGCCCGTCACGATGGCTGCAGAGCTCCATCCCTGGAGGAGACAGATGGGAATCCAGCTCCTATCTGCATGCAGCTCTGGGCCCCGTGAAGCTGTCTGTGCACTGGGGGAGCGGGGCGGCCGCAATGCGCACAAGGTGCTCTCGTCATGAAAGCATCTTTTGATTTTGTTATTGCAGCTATCAAAATATTGCAGAGTTCAGAGCATTCCGCAGGGATCCCCGTGCTCTTCAAAGACCAGAGGACCACGACTGGGGAAAAAGAAGCCTTTAATTACGTCGGTTTCCACGCTTGTTTCTGCAGTGGAGTTCCTTTAAAAAAAATATATAGTTTTAATGAGAGGAAACACATATGGCCCCGTTGTTCAAACAAGGAGAGATACAGCTGATTTTTTTTTAATAGGCAGCAGTTCCTTTGGGTCTCCTGGAGCTCACACCAAGGGGCTCTGCACTGAGCACCCCCAGCAGCAGGGCTATCCGTGGGGCAGAGCAGCTCCATCCCAGCCCCATGCCATCCATCACCCCCTCTGTTCCCACTGCAACTCTCTCCTCCTCCCCTGCTCCTTCCAACCACGCGGAGCCGCATGCAGTGGGATCTCAGCATGGCCATCCTCCGTGAACGCTCTCGTTTCTCTCAGATGTTCATTTGAATTCAAATGGAAAAGCTCACTTTTCCCACAGTGTAAATATCAGTGCCGCGTATGACGCTGCAGAAAGCACGGGACAGCCCCACATTTCAAAGAGCATCTTGAGCATATACTTCTAATAAATAATCCTATCTGGCAAATTTAATTAACGGGCTGCAGTGCGTGGTGCAGCCCGCTGGATAGAGTATCTCCATCTGATCTGCAATGCTTTTAGAAGCTTTAAGTATTAATAAAGAGTGTTTTGTTGGAGAATTCACAGGGGACAATTACAAATAATTGCCAAGAAGGGTGTGTGCCTCATTTAAGTGACTGCATATTAAAAATGATGAAGGATTAAAAAAGAATTCATAGCATTGGAGTGCAGCAGCAGTGGCTGCCCCTGTTCCCATTGCCATCCCTGCAAGGGATGCTTGGTGCAATTCAGGCTTCCCAGCCCCGGGGCAGAAGGAGCTGAATGGAGGAGTGGAATGGCCAACGGAAGACAAAACCCACCAAGGAATCCAAACCCAGAAAACCACATGAAAATTATCACACCGCAAAGTTTTTCTGGGATTGCTTCCCCATTTTTCCTGCCTTGGAGCTATAGAGTGGGGTTTCCCCCTCCACTTCTCCTACTAATTGGGATCTCTGTGCAGGGCATGAGATTCACAGCAGCCAAAAAGTGCTCATTCCCTTCCATGATATCAAGGCAAGGAAGAGGGAAACCTCCTTTGAAACGACTTCTCATGGCAGCAGGGCATACAAGGAGCAGCACTGCAGGCACTATATGTGCAGCACTGGCATTGGCAGCACTGCCATTTCTTTACAGCTCTCACTTTCCATGACAATGGAAAAGAAAGAAACTTCCAGCACTCCTTTCTCACCCTGCAGGCAGCAAGACACAGGCATCACAGTGCCCAAAGAAAAGCTCTGTTGGGACCCAGCAGCACAGATCAGAGAGGCACCCATCGATGCCAAAAAAGCGGCACTCTTAGAACCACCATAAAGACATAATTTTGCTGCTTTTTCACATGCAAATAACAAGTCAGGAGAGCAGCAGCTCTGGCAGAGAGTAAAGCAGGGCTCAGGAGGGACTGTGCCAATGTCTGGGTGATGAGGTTTGGATGGGAAAGCCCAGAGCTATGCCTGTAAGCCGCCGTGCGTGGGGCCAGGGTCTGAGCTCACCAGGTCTCCTTGGGGATGGCACTGTGGGGTCTCTGCCCACGCCACCTGCAGCACCTGGGATGAGGGCTGAGAGCATCCCCCCCATGTGCTCCTGCTCCGCTACCATCAGCCCGTACCGAGGACAGTAGAAGGATTGGGCTGTCCACCCTCCAAGCCAGAGCGCATGGCTCAGTGAACACCAGCTTTGGGAGCTGTTTCCAGCTGTTTGGGAGCAATGCCTCCTCCAGAGCCAGGAGTAGCTCAGGGCTGAGCCCCGTGATGTACATGGGGCTAACGAAACCCAGAGCGCGAGGCCAGCACAGACCCAGCCCCGTTCCCAGACAAGAGCTCTGCCAGGGATGGGTACCAGTGCCGGGGTTGGGGTATCAGTGCCAGAATGGATACAAGTGCTGGAGGCACGGCCCCGAGCAGCCCTGCGCTCCCGTGGCAGCCAGCTCACAGCAGCTTCTCAATCTGGGAAGGGTCCACCCCAGCCCTCTGGAGCTCAGCTCAGCACACACACAGATCCCCCACCCGCTGCCATCTCCCCGTGGGACTGGCAGCAATAAATCCTGCCCCGCCGCAGGCAGTGCCATGCCCCCTCATTTTCCATGAGATCCGCACGCAAGGCTTCGGCTCCAAACATCTCCTTTTGATTTCATGGGGAAGGAATGCTGTGAACTTCAGTTTAGAGAACCAATTTATTTCATGCAATTTCTCCTCCTCGTAGAAGCAGCTCTGTATTCCAAGCCGTGATTTTCCAAAATAAAAGCAGCAGTTAACCATTGGAGCGGAGCGATCCGCCTCCGCCTCGCTTCCCCTATTGCTGTGTTTCAGAACTTTGCTCAAAAATGGAAAGGGGCACCTTTAAAACTTTAATACCACGTAAATGTTCCAGTCTCGCTGCTGCACCAGATCGTTCAGCAAAGTAGCTAATTAAAAAATGGCTGCTGTGATGACAGACTAGATTAATAGTTTTTGAAGAGCAGCCAGTGCACCAACTGCTCCCGTAGCCATGCTGAAAGCTAATAATGTAGAAAATTCTGCCAATTCTTTTAATTCATGAATATTTAAGCCTGTGAAAAATCTGTCAGATTATAGCACTTTTCTGGTGATTTTCTGCTTAAGTACATTTATGGGCAAATGCCAGTTGCTCAAGAAACTTCAGTGGAACGCAAAGACTTTTTATTGTCTGTGTCGCCAGAGCTCTTTTCCTCCTCCCATCGCCTTACAGCCGGTGCCAGGATCAGCTGTGGGCACAGCACTCCCACTGGCGTCCACTGGGATCCCAGGCAGGGATGACGCATCTGCATGGTAACAGGGATGGGGAGGAGCAACAGGTGATTCCTATTAGAGAATTATAAAAAATATATATATATATTCCCGAGTTTTCCAGCTAGGATCACTCCCAAAGCTCCTCAAGGGACGTGTCCAGGTCAGATAGACTGCAGTATCCCCAGCCCTACAGCAGCAGGCAGCTCCCCAGCTCACTGCTCATCCACAGCACCGCCTGGTGACTCACCTTACAGCTACTGGAGAAACAATTACCCCAGCTGGGAGCATAACCTGCTCAGCCTTCCCTCACAGTGCCAAAGGCCAGAACTCCCCGTGAGCGGCTCCTGCACAGCTATTCTCCAGCCCACCACAGCAGGGATGCTCTTTTCCATGAAACCGGGAGCAACACGGTGGGTTTTGCTCAAGCTCCCAGCAGAATGGATGGGATGGTTGGTAAGGGGCTGCAGAGCTGCATCCCCCGCAGCGCCCACAGCCTGGGGATGTTCTGCACCCTGCGTCCCAGCATCTCTGAGTCACCACTGAACTGCTGCTCAGCTGCACCCATGTGCAGGAGGACCTCATTCCAAAATGCTTTGGAATGCACCAAGTGGTTTTGTGACTTTGGAACAAAAAAAGAGGAAACTCCAGCAGAACTCAGAACATCCACAGAGCTGAAAAGAGCGTCTCATCCCAACGCAGCTGTTTGGTGGGGAAGAGAAAACCTGCCCTGGAGCCGCGTGCTGGGAAGGTTCATGTTTTTAAACTTGAGCCCCAAGTGTCCTTCGTGCTGTCAGGTCACATCAGCCCCTTAAACGTTACACAACACTGCCGTGTAATTAAATGCTTACAGGATTTGCAGACTGCTTGTCTCACAGTTGGGAATGGCTCCTCCAAAGCTCTCAGGTTTGGCACATCAGCTCCTCGCACCAGGGATGCCCACACCTGGGCTGTACCAGCACAGCACAGAGTGGGATGCAGCAGGAGGCAGCAGCCAGCCCCGAGCAGAGGGTGGTGGCAGAGGGGTTGGGGCCCAGCAGGTTTGGGGCTGCCCCATTGCAAGCGGAGCAGCGGCGAAACTTCCCCTTCCTCTCCTCACCACCTTCAGCCACTCACAATGTCACTCCAGCTGAGCAAGAAGCAATTATGATTTAATTACCCCACTGCTCTTCAGCAGAATTTTTGGAATAGCGATTTCTGCGGTGCCTCATTTACCCTTTTCCTCTTCACCTGCATTTGTTCTGCATGGTGCTGTTGCTGCACAGCCACGACCGCACGGTCACCTCGTCTCCCTCCCCTCGCAGCACCCACACGGCACAGGCAGGGCACGACGAGAGCTGCTAATTCATAAATATTTAACACCCAGCTCTGCTGCCTCCTGATAGCTTTTCTCCAGAGTTTCTATTCTCATCCGTATTCCACCCCCTTCCCCTCCCTTACGGCCCTCCTCGTTTTTTTCCCTTCCTTCTCGCTGGGCATTAATCCAAGTGCTGAGATGACTGTTTCACTTCCCCGCTGTCATCAGTTGTTTTTATCTTATCTGGGCCGTGGATGCCAGTCAGCAACCCGTTGCGGTCTTTCCAGTTGAGTCCTGACCTCCGCAATCAGCCTCAAGATGTCCTGTAACGAGCAGATACGGTTACTCAACTTGTCCATCAGCACTTCTGGAGGGGGGAAAAAAGGAAGCACAAACCAGCAAATGGTGGCACGAGGCAGGGCTGTGGGCTGCGGGTGGGCTGGGCTGCTCCCTGCAGGCAGGTGCGCCCGCTCCAGGCCCTCGCATCGGCACTGCATGGCGCAGAGAAGCCTCTGCAAACCAGGTGAGCTTTAGGGCTGCTTGTCCTCCCACCTTCAGGAGCAGCAGGAGGATGTGCTATGGGGCTGCGGTCTGTGCTCCCCAGGGGTCACGCTCACCCCACTGCCCCCAGGCAGAGACGAACACCTGGGGGCTGTGCGCTCCGTGCCCGCAGTGCCGTCCTGCATACACAGGTGCCCACGTGTGCTTGGCTCTGGTGTTGAGCGGAGGGAGGAAAACTCACCCCAGCAAACAGGATTGCCACCTCCTGCATCCCTGAGCACAGCCGTCCATCTGTCCGTCCATCTAATGATACCACGGAGGGCAAAGCGAGGCCAGCGCAGAACCAGATCCACTTTATAGACTTATCACCCGGTGTAAAAATGTCCTGTTGGATTTATCCGACATGTGTTCTATCAACGTGCTCCGCTCTGAAGTAAAAGGGCTTTTAGTTACAGCAGATTGGAGGGGGTGTGGGGAAGGAGAAGGGATGGATTTGGGCTCTGCCAGCAGCTCTGGTTGCTTTTGCATCAACGTCTCTATTTTCTAAGGGAGGATTTAAGACCTCGTTGTGTACGAGCAACCGAGACAGGAGAAACTCGAACGGGGAGAACCGTAAAAGGTTGTACTGAAAAATGCTATTAGTCTGCATGAAATAAGATTCTTCCTGGAAACATGACACTGAACATCGAAGGGAGGGGGAGGAAGAGCTGTAAAATGGCTGCAGAAAAAAAGGGTTACAAATTAAATATGATAAAAAGAATCCTTTTGAATGAGATCTTAATTTAACCTCAACATCATGACCGTATATTTCAGGATATTAATCCCTCGGCCTGCAATAAATCCCAAGGACGGTACGACCACTTATGGCTCAGCAATGAGCCATTACTATGGGTTGCAGATGCCGCAAAGCCATCGTGCCATTACTGAGGGGTGCGCAGAATAACCCAGCTCCGTGCAGCGCCCACACAGCTCCAACTGCTGCGGCACTGACCTGTGAGCCAACCTGCACCCAGACTCACATCTGTGCCCTGAAGGAGTGCTGGGAGCTGCCCACGGGGCCGTGCACCCCAGCACTGCACCAGATCTGCATCTGCTCTCAGTGCAGATCAACCATGGACAGAAGTGCAAACACCAGCACCTCACGGAGCCCTCCCTGCTCCCCCATGCGCTGCCAGCTTGGCACCCTGCACTTCCACATATGCCCCAAAAGGAGGAGAGGAACTTCTAATGAGTCAAGGCTGTAACCTTGCTCTGAGAGCAAACATATGCCACCGCCGCTCTCTTGGCAGCAGCACTTGGAGCCAGTTGCTGTCAATTCCATTCGGGCTGCAGCCACTTTGGGGCTCTCGATAAGGAGCAGACAGAGCAGGTGAGGAGCGCCGAAGCTTTGCAAGTGTTGGTGAGCTGCTGGCAGAGCTGCTGCAGCCCTGCTTCGCGTTGGAGGTGGTGAAATGCGTGAGCAGCTCGATTCCTCCTGGGGGAATATCCCTGTGCTCTGCTAGGGATATTGCTGAGTGCTCTGTGGGGTAAAAGGCAGTGCACTCCGCTGACCCCACGCACAGTCTTTCTCCCCGGCAGCACGAGGTAGCAGAAGTGAGGAAGCGTCTATTGGGATAGGCAGCCCTGAGCAGGGCTGGCCCAGAGCAGTTCAAGCTGGGAAATGCCTTTTTGACACGAGTCAAGTTCCCCACTGAAAAATTTTGTCAAAACTTTCAAGGTAATAGCAGGAAAGAAAAGCCAACCCCAACAAATCCGAGAGCACCCTGGGAAGCACTGTCACAGTGGGGGAAAAAAAAAAAAAAAAAAAAAAAAAAAAAAAGCTGTAAGTGTGATTTCTGCTGGGGAATGGTGAACAGGGGGGGCAACATCCCCAGCTCTGCTCCCCACGCCAACCAGCAGAAGGGAGCCCCAGCAGCAGCCAACCCCAGCAGCGCGTTCCCTATGGCTGCGGTGGGACCGCGGCGCCGCCGGAGGTTCCCACCTGCAACCATTGCGTGCAGCGGGAGGAGGAGCGGGCTGGGAACAAGGGGTGCTCTGCTTTCTCATCAGCCACCGAAGTTCTCGTTTGCTGCGCAGCCCCGTTCCCAGGCTGCCCGTGCAGTTGATGCTGCAGCGGATGCTGTGGTTTGCTCGTCTGAAATAAATTGCGCAACAAACTCAGCCCAGCGCTGAGCAGCATCAGCTGCAGCAAAGCAGCTCTAATAGTGCTGGTCCTGTGCGTCCCGCTGGGGGACTTTCAATTGACAGAGTTACAAGAGATGAAATATTCAGTAGGATTAAGAATTTGGAGGAGGTGGAAATCAAAGCGAAAAAGAAAACAAGTAAAAACAGCTTAATCTAGCCTTCTAGCACTAATTGTCATTGGGATTCAGGCTAAAACAAACACAACAAAATGAGCTGCCAATTTGAAAGGGGAAGGAAGAGGGTGAACACGATTCCCACCGCATCGAAAGCAACCTTTTATCTCTCCTCCACCGCAGACAGAGGCACGTGGGGCACGGGGCCACGCCTGGGACAGCCCCAGCCACACAAGCAGGATCTGAACCTCTCAGTGCTGGGCAGGGCTTTATCCAAGAGGCCATCACCCATGGCACGAGGGCTCCAATGCAACATCGCCCCAACATGGCATCAGTCCCATGCAACACTGCCCCAACATGATATTTCTCCAATGCAACACTGCCTACCGCAACACTGCCCCAGCGTGGCATGGCCCCAATGCAACACTGCCCCAATGTGGCATGGCCCCAATGCAACACTGCCCCACCACGACACGGCCCCCACCTGTGGGTGCCCGCAGTCCCATGCAGGAGAAGCAGTGCAGCTCTGTGCCCACATGCTGTGGGCAAAGGCACCAGCAAGGCAGATTAGCTTACAGCCGAAGTGGAGTTATCCAACACTGCAATTTAAGTTGACAATTACATGGTAACCGACTTGCACACAAAGAGAGGCTCTGGAAGTATTCCCAGAACGCAGAAGTCTGACAGTATCCACCCAATTTGTTGCAACAACAAAGAATACTGGAATATGTCCTTTCATTTGGCAGAGTACTGTTTTATTTTTTTTAGGCTAGGTGGAGAAATTTAGCCTGCTATTTAAGGAGCTTGTTGTGCCTTGAGAGTGACAAGCCAAGAGTTTCACTAGAAAGCCAAACTCAAACACAAATTGTATCCTGCCACCCGTGAGACTCAATTGCACTGAGGGAAGGAATTTGCAGAGCCTCATCTGCTGCTGGGGTCTGCCTTTCCAACCCTACAGAGACATAACTGGGGCCTTTCATTGCTCCCTTATACAATCCCCCCTCTTTGCACAAAGGAAGAGAACGCATTTCAGCAGGCATTTGGATGGGCTACTGTTTTTTTGAGCATTCTCCCCATGCCAAAGCCATCTCATTTGCGGGTGTTTGTGCCCACAGAAACTAAAAAGGAGATTTTGTGTGTTAGATTATGATATTTGCAGGCTACAGAGACAAAGCCTTTAGGGAAACACACGGCCCCAGTGGGGAAAAGCCAAAGGAACCCTGAAAGCAGGAGATGGAAATGCATCCCAATGGAACAGGAGGCAAGCAATGGGCTTGCCTGCACCACTGAGCCATTCGGCCCCTTCCCAGCGCCCATGTCAAAAGGTCAGCAGCACAGCCATCTCTAGGGACTTTTTTTTCTTGTGGCCTCACTTCTGGTGGAAATTAGTCAGCTTTCCAGAGCAGAAACCTCAAGCCATAGCCACACTTCTGAGCCAGCTCATCACTGTCACCCCTCCACAAACCACTTCCTTCCCGATTACCGTCAGTCCCCCCGGCGTGATGAAGGGGATGGAGCCCTGCACGAGGCCATGGGGAGGGGCTCAGGGAGCTCCTGTGGCACGTGGGCAAGGAGGAAGCAGGGAAAAAGCAGCAGTGAAGATGTAAGGTGGTGATGGGGCACAGCAGGGGTGGGCAAGGAGGGGCAGCCAGGCACATGATGGGGCACCGGGAATTTGCTTGCACCTGGGACAGGCACAGACCTCACTCCTGTTTCATCAGCAACCAGACCAAAGCCCTCACCTGCCCGCACATGGCATCGACCCCCACACGAGGAACAGTCTTTCTGAGGGGGACAACTTGGGCTTCTGTGGCCTGACAGAGCCAGCTGTGCAACAGACAGAGAGACCCGCACCCTGAGTATATGGCAATGGTGGCTGAGGGCAGCCCTGTCCTGCCCCCACCACCCTCACTTGCAGCCAGCTTGGCTCCCAGTCCCGGATTTTCCCCCCCAGCTCTGCTCCTGCACAAACAGCTGCAGTTGCACAGACCCCCCTGGGGCAGCTGTGGGGCAGCACCGCTCTGTGGGGTTCCGTTGCGATTTGCAAACTGCCACCGCTGCCTCAATGCCTTCCCCTGCCACCCTTGTGCTCCAGCTCTGCAAAACCTGCCTGCCTGCCACAGGCCAAGAAAACGCAGCACAGCCTTTGTTGGAAGAGAGGAGTGAAAATGAGTTGCTTTCACCCCCAAACAACCATCTTTCATCCTCAGACCCACGAGGGCACAGGCAGAGCCTGCAGCCATCACACTGACTGCAGCTCCCACACGCCGGACGCACAGGGCTGCAGGGCAGCGTTTGTTCATTTCATGGGCAGGATTTATTCATTACAGCACCAGGCAGCAGCGAGGCCCCAAGCACGATCCCCGGGGTGCAGGGCCGTGTTTGTACCGAGACGAGTTCCCAAATGACTCACCAGAAACCAGCCCTGCTCCGGTGAGGCCTCAAGCAGCTGCAGGTCCCCCTCCCACGCTGCGGTCCCCATGTCCTGGGGAAGTGGGACTGCCATCCCAACCTCCATCCCCATCCCAATCCCTACCCCATCAGATCTCAAAACCCATCCACAACCCCAACTCCAATCCCTTTCCTTATCCCAGAGGATCCCCATCTGCAGCCATGGTGAGGCAGGAGCAGCTCCAGCACAACTGCTTCCACCCCTCATCCAGAGCAGCACATCCCTCAGGCCAGCACCAGGCCACAGAGGTTTGTTTTCTTTAGAGAGGATCTTGGTTTGAAGGGGAAAAAAAAAGTCCCCATCAAAAAAAAAAAAAAAGAATAAAAAAGAAAAGAAAAAGAAACCACGGCCACATCCTGCCTTAAACTGCTGCTCGTGATGTGCCGACGCGGCTGCACAGAGCAGTGCTGGGGGTGGCAATTCTCCTCTGCTCGCCAAGTAACACTTCAGCTCTGAGTCAATCGGCTGAAGCCACAAATCCATTTGCTTACGAGCACGAAACCACAGCGACCCACGGTGCTCCTCGGGGCCACATGTGCCAGCACCTGCCTGCACCGAGCTGAGACAGACAGGCTGTATCTCCGCCATGCGCAGCAGCGCCAGCAGCACACAGCAGTGCAAAGCAATGCCTCCTGCCAGCACCCCCACTTCGCAAGGTGGGATGGGCTCCATCTCTGGCAGCGCCGGGGCAGGGGCTGCCATGCTCTCAGGCACCTCTCCCCACAGGTGCGGGGCTGGGCAGGCACAGCAGCAGGTAAACCCCCCAACACACGGGGTGTTGAAAGCCAGCACTTTTCCCCTGTGGGTTACTACGCACTCAATGTGGGTGGCTTGTGACTCACCAACTCCGTTTCAGAACCTACAGGTGCTGCTGGCATGGGGAAAGGCAGCAGCTGGGCACTGGGAGAGGGGGAGAAAACCCCAAGCTATTGGAGGATGCTGAGCCCGGCTCCCAGCTGCCCCTACACAGCCCCAGCACCCCCCATGGGAGGTGCTGTGGGGCACAGGGCTGCTGTGGGCTGTGCACAGTGACCCACAGCACTGCTTCACTGCCAGACAGGGCTGCGCTCTGCAGTTAGAGGGAGAAAAACAATGACACAGGAGAAGAATGTAGGAGAGAAACAGCCCAGTTCCTAGGGGAGCTGTCATCTGCACAGTGGAACTGCCCTCTCGGGGGCTTTGATGGCTTCTGAATTGTTTTACTGTGCCACTGAATCACCGGGGGAAAACCTGCACCGGCAGCAAAGCCTCATCCCAGTGCTCAGCTGTGAGCAGGGATGCTCCGTGTCCTTCAAAGCACTGCAGGCACCAGGAGACACAGGCCTCCATCTGAACTCAAGGCCAGGTGACAAAGCAGTGACACCGTGCCCATGCAGCTATAACACAGCACACACCACAAAGCAGCTCCAGGCCCCCCCTTGGGGCTCCCCTGCCCCACACAAGCACCGCATCTCTGAACAGCAGCGAGTTTGGCTGGCTCCATGGGCAGCCCGCACCTCCAGCACAGCAGCCCCCAGCACCCCTTCCTTCAAGTTTTCATACTGCAGCTGGCAGCACCAACCCCAGCCCCCCCCCCCCAAACCCCATTAACCTTTTTTGCTCCATCATTAAAGAAACCCAACAGTTTATACACTTTTTTTTTTTTTTCCTCCTTTCCTTCTCCTGCGTGGTTCTTCACTGTAATCTGCCCTGAATATTTAACGCGGAATCCCTCGTGAGAGCAAGTAGTGTTTTTATGGGCATTAGAGGCAAACTCTCGCAAAGAAGAAGTGGTAATGAGTACCCCTGAGTACCCTCTCAGTTTCACAACCGCCTGTGTTTAAAAACAAGCAGGAATTGGGCAAGTGCTGCTCACAGGGGAGCGCGGCAGCCGCTCTCTCCCAGCAATGTGCTTTGCTCCCATAGCCCGGCGCAGGCAAACACCACTTGTTTATTCCAATTGAAGCCGACACCAGAAGCACTCTGGACTTGAGTTTGTGTGTCCTGCTTTATTTCCAGCTCGGATTAACGGCATCTCTTTA